TATATATATATATATATATATATATATATATATAGTAGGTCATTTATTTAACTAAATACCTAAATATTTAACTTTAGTAAGATTCACATGCATATCACTTAATTTCTGCGTATTTACATATCTGCCACCTAACTTCGATAGTTACTTATATGCCACTATACCTATGAATAAAAAGATTTCACTGTTTAAGAGTTAAATAAGTGTTATTTTTTATTTGATATGAAAGATTTGGATGGTATAAATGTAAAAAAACTAAAATTTAGGTGTTAAAAAACAAAGGATAGGTGTTAGATATGTAAGCACATAAGAATTGGGTGGTATGTATGGCAGTAAACTATGTATCTGTCGGTCGTTTTATTTTTATTATTTTTTTTAAACTTCGTGATTTAAGAAAGTGAATGATTTTGTGATTTTGAAAATAATTTAAATATAAATATAACTTTTTTTGATTTTTTTTTAAAATTTTTATTTTTAAAAGTAACATTTTAATTTTAAAATGGATGAGATCAAACAGGTCTGACATTTTAAATAATTTAGATGATTGAATACAATACTACAAATAATACACTTATCCCGAAGAATAAATAAATCACTTGTAATAGAGATTCAATCACCTAGACTAAAGAATTTGTGACATTCATATTGGTCTGCGAAATATTTTAAAAAAATGCCAACAAGTTCTCCTACCTAACATAAAAAATTAGATAGGGTTTATTTTATTTGGGTTCCTGGTTCCCTATAGAAGCAAACCCCTATAGTTAATTACATCTTAAATGATTGAAATCATTTAAGAAAACTCTCGATTAAGATCATGTGGTTTTGATTTCAAGATTTCAAAGTTTAGGTTTTCACGATTGGACATGGGAAAATCAAATAGAAATGACTCAAAATATGAACAATTATTTAAGGAATCCAAAGGGAAGAAAAGTAGGGGATATCACAGATCCAAGAGAAACCCTGGGAATGTCCCAACAATCCTAATATTCGGCTTTATGTCTTTTGAAATGATTTAATTTGATATTTCAATCCTGCAAATTATTTATGATTTAGGACTTATGTTTGCACAATGTCGGATTGTGCAAATAGCCTAAAAAGACAGGAGGATTTACATCGTACCGCACGGTAACTTCGGAATCTTAAAACATTAGGACCTAGGACTTATAATCGTACAACAGAGTTGTACAAAAAAACCTAGAGAGTGACCCTATGGATTGTTATTTAAACTAAAAAAGGTGATAGGTGATGTGAATGTGTTTATGTGATGTGAAGATGTTTTACTGCTGTAGATCCACCTGGGAGTTGTTCCTCGTCGTGTTGCCCACAGTGTTCGCTCAGCACCTCCTGGTTTAGTTTTAGTTTTGAAAATGCACCTAACCACTGGGTTATTCTATACTATGGTATAGTACAAAAACTAAGTAATAAAATATGCAGTGTGAAAGAAAAGTAACAATGTACTGTACAGTAAAGAAGAAAGACAGTATAACATGCTGAAAGAAGAGTATAACATGCTATAAAGAGTAGTATAACAGGATATAAAAGCAATATAACATGCTGGGAAAATAAAATGCTATAATATAAATTAAATCTGTGCACCTGGTAGGTTCATTACTCCTTTAAGTTTAGTTAATATGCGCTGTGTAAAAGAGGAAAATACGACCTGAAAAATACTTAACAGAAACAGGTAAATCGTAGGAAAAAGATAAACAAATAAAATGAAATACAATATCACATATAAAGAACGGAGAAATTTATATGTGGTATTGGAATGTCCCCAATTGCCAGGAGGATTTGAATGTAGGACAAATTCAAATCCCGGAGCATTGGGTTTCAGTTTTGGTCAAGTTAAGGTAAGAATTTCATTATTTGATTTAATTAAATCAGTCATGAGTCACAATCTAGTGCACCCTCGTGCATAGTGTTCTACTTATCTCCTAAACTGAGGTTTGATGTTTGGATTTCTTAGGGTCATTTGAAAATTAGGATGATAAACTATCTCTTAAATTGTGCTCCTAAGATCTATGATGTCTGCACTTTAGTTTAAACTTGAAGTGTCCTAAAGTGTCTAATTTCAATTAAGTGTCTTTCCACTAATCCTCAAACATCTATAGATCCAGCTTAGCTCGCTATCAGGCTCCTAAAACCTAGGGGTAAACTCATAGTTTTGGCAAAAGAATTGT